CCCCCCCGCTTCCGCCGCCCCTGCGAGTCTGTGGGCCATATTCCAAGATCAGGAGCCCACCATTACTAGGAGCATCCATCTCCCATACTGAGTCTGTGGGCCAACATATTCCTAGATCAGGAGCCCATTACTAGGAGCATCCATCTTCCATACTGGGTCTGTGAGCCAGCATATTCCAAGATCCGGAGCCCATTACTAGAAGCATCTATCTCCCATACTGGGTCTGAGAGCCAACATAGTCCCAGATCAGGAGCCCATTACTAGAAGCATCTATCTCCCATACTGGGTCTGTGAGCCAGCATATTCCAAGATCAGGTCATATCACGTGACAAACTTCTCATTATCATGCGACATATTTAACAAGTCACGCGCCACAATACGAAAGTCACGCGGCATTGTAACTGATAAAGTTAGAAAGCAAATTACAGTAAATCGAACAATTACTTTCCAATCTTCAAACAGCATAGACAAAAGCAGAGGTATGCCTCGACTACCCTGGGTTCTAGATGATCTCTCGCTAGAGTGCTTGTCTCGTGATAAGTAAAGGTYATAACCGTTACCGAGGTGGATATGAGATATATCAACCCGAGGCGAAGGCGATGGACGGTTGATATATCTCATATCCATCGAGGCAAAAGAAACTGACTCAATGATGATATAACTAAAATCTAAAACCCAGAAGCACTTGGGCGAGAGAGCCCTACGACACAGGGTAGGTTTTAACATGCGATAAATAAACATCACATGTTTTGAATAAATGCGAACATTATTCCTGAAAGGTCTTGATGAATGAGATGCTTTTTATTTTCCCCTTCTGATGAAGGGAATATTTTTTCTCAATTACTGAGATTAAATTAAATTATATACAACTCGTAATAGACCTCCTCGGCTCTGACGTAATGTTTTCCCATTTCAGACCACGTGTCATTCCCTAGAGTATCATTTCTTTGTTTAAGGTTTGCGCTCGGTTGCACATGAGAAGACTTGAATATGGATACAACTCAAACAAAGAATATTATTCTCAAGGGAATGACACGTGGCCTGAAATGGGACAACATTACGCTCGAGCGCTCCAGAGTCGAGAAGGCCTATTGGCCCACATCCCCTTTGTCCATAGTGGGTTTTCACCAGTTATCATTTACTCCTTGGGAAGTTTCGTTAGCTCATTCATTTTCCACACTATTGCTTACTATTAATCACGTGACTTTTTGGAGTTGACTGGGGGGCAAACAAGCGGTTGGCTGGGGGACAACTAGCGGATGTTAAGTCAAAACATATCAAAATAAGTCCTCAAACTATTGTATTTGACTATTTTCACGACATCAAATTAGAAAACAAGAGATCAAAACAACCTCCAGGATTCTACAAGCCATCAAAAAAGAGCTATTACCGGAAGTGACGTCTATTGATAGCAACCTATTATGATTGACTTTTATCAATGAACTATAAGCCTATGTAAATAAAAATAAATAAATCACATCGTGCAATGGTTAAGAATTTCTTTAAAACACATTTTTATAGACCACTGCTAAATATGTCATCAATATTATGCCCCCGAAGCCTCGTTATCAAACTAAACATTTAAATTAAGTATTTCTAATATCAAATGTAATAAAATACAAAACAAATGTTTTGAGTCCAGCTCAGTAGTTTTGGTCAAGCAACCTGACACTTGAAGTATCAATAAATTTCCATATTTCAGATTATTTGTCGCAAATAAGAATGAAGTCCGCATTAAAATCGATATTACTTCGTAAGATTCTCGTCGTAGTTCGACAAAACTAATCGCGTTTCGGCCGTTCAGCGTTCTCATTTGAGAAACGACATTTTGACATATTTGAATGATTTGTTTCTTTTCATTGGACTGCCGAATTGCTTATAATACTCGGAATGCTTTCGTGCCTGTTCGGAAATTCGTCGATACTGAGCTCGTACATCCAATTGACACGAGTGAAAAACGCACTGTGCATTCGCATTGACATATTTGAATGATTTTTTTTCTTTGGACTGTCGAATTGCTTATGATACTCGAGAAGGTTTCTTGCCTCTTCAGAAAATCGTCGATAACTCGTACGATTGACATCCAATTGACACGAGTGAAAAACGCACTGTGCATTCGCATTGACATATTTGAATTTTAACATTTCGTAAACCCCCGACATATCTCGTTGGTCCTTCGTTAGAGTTCGGGATATAGCTTCGCCATCGGATCCGAACTCAACTCCTCGACACTGACACATGGTTGACGAACGGACAATTCTAAAATTGAAAAAAAAAAAAATTATTTTATCATGAAATTAAAATAAAAATTAAAAAATTAAAAACGGTCAAAGGATATAAACAAGGAATAAATGACTGTTTAAAAGAATGATTGAATACTACAGTTACCTTTTAGGTTCTCGAAAAATGTGAAAGTAGACATGACCAGGCAAATAAAAAGAGACTACAGCTGAGACCCATGATGGCAGAAAAAGACGCTGTAACGATATAATAGAATATACCTGAATTAGGCAAGAATAACTAGTATAGACCTAGAAGTATAGACTATATAACGATATATTAGAATATTTTTTTATGTCAGTCACAGCGGCCATGTTGGTGTACCAAAACTTGACATTTTCTATCCTCCGGGAACAAACTTGTTGCATATGTCGTCAATGGAGCTCTATTTGGATGAGGACAAAACAAAAGAATTTCAATCTTCTGTGAATTGGAAACCTATTGTAATGTCCTCCAGATTGAGCTACATCCAGACATGATGCAGGGGGTCTATTAAACTCTAGTATTTTTTGTGCAAAATCTGTGTATAACATTTCTATTGTTTGGTACCCCTATATGGCTGCCTTGTGACGTGAATGAAAACACTCTATATATACAATGTATTTTCCACTTTCCTCTTATATTTCTTTTCCTTTCTTTTCCTTTTCCTTTTCCTTTCTAGTATTATAGGATGAGTGCTTCGTTGAAGTAGTCCTCTTACTGTTACGGTTACGGCTAAAGTATGACTAAATGACGACTACGAATTTGGAACATTTTCAGTTTATGAGTCGAAAAAGTAAAAGCACATAAGTATGTTGTATAACATTGAAGTGGCTTCCCATTGTCTACCAGTAAATCATCCAATGACGACGCGTAGTTATAACGGCTCCGGTAAGATACGGTACAGCTGCAGTATCCCTAAGAATTTGCCGTATCCGGAATTTTCCACTCAAACGAAAACGACTCTATTTTAATCAGGGCATACGCCTGTTACAGGAAAAGGTTGTCGGTCGGAGATCTGAGATGGTTAGTATGAGACGAAAAGAAATCCTTGTACTTTTATATTTTCTAACTAAAATACAAAAAATCATGGTTTATTTTCCAATCGAAAAGGAAACTACGTCGTTCGGCTGTGAATATATTACATTTTGCAGCGTATACTCGGTTCTAAATTTCAGATTTCAGATCTCGTACTATCTCCGACCAACAAAGTTTTCTTTGAAATAGGTGTATATATATGGTCACTGATTGCATCGATTATTTAGATTCACTAAATTAATTGACTTGCTTTAGGGCCTTTTAACATTAAAATGATCAAAGTTACAGTTCATTAAGGTATCACGAGGGGATTTGGACCCCTATACGCGCTACCTTACATTTTTTTACGGGACCAAATCCCCTCCTGATACCTTAAACATCAATCCTATTTTCATAACTTACAAATAGATTCATCTGTGTCCTTGGGTTTCTTATTATTCGGTTCTTCAATAATATCTTCATCAATGAAACGACTTTGTTCGATCTGTATCGAAGGAGGTAGTATTGGCCTAGAAGTGCAAGGTAGACTGAAAGTACGCTTTGAACGCTGATAGACAAAAGATGGTTGCATACTGAAGACTTTGAGTGAATGGCTGCGAGTCGAACGGAGTCTTTCGTTAGGAACTGGACTCAGAAACTGAGGGTCTTGTGAGGCCATCTTCCCATGGAACACTGTGGTCTCAGTCTAGAATTGAAAAGCAAGATGCTTTAAGGATGGATGGATGGGATGGATGGATGGATGGATGGATGGATGGA